GCTTCCCACCCGGTGGTTTACCACCACGTCTGCTATCACCCTCACGCCCCCTGCGCTCCCAGCACCACCAGTGGCAGCACTATCAGTGGCAGCACATCCCATGGCAGAGCTATCAGTAGTGGTAACAGGTGCACAATCAGCTGCTTGATCCAACCCACTGTCCGGATTCATGTCAGTCACCGCTGCACCACCCGCAGCAGGGGCTGAAGGTGACGAAGCAGCAGCAACAGTAACAGAATCATCCCCAGCAGCAGCAGTAGCAGCAGCACCATTAGCAGAAAACGTTGAGGGTACTCCAGTGTGGGGCTGGGCGGCCTTGAACGCAGCAATGAGAGCACGCAGGTCTGCCTCTGAGCCGTATGCTGATGCCAGGTGGTAGAGGTCCTTGGGCAGGTAGCCTATTGGGGGGAGAAAGGGGAGGGAAGAGAGCGAGTGGGGGAGGGGAAGAGGGATAATGAAGAATGACTCGGAGCCGTATGCTGATGCCAGGTGGTAGAGGTCCTTGGGCGGGTAGCCTGGGAGTGGGGGGAGAGGGGAGGTGAGGCAGAGAGAGGGGTTGAGGGTACCGCAGTGCTGGGCTGGGCGGCCCTGAGAGCAGCAAAGAGGGTGCGGAGATCTGCCTCGGAGGCGTATGCTGATGATAGGTGGTAGAGGTCCTTGGGCAGGTAGCCTGGGGGGAGAGAGAGTGAGAAAATGAGAAGTATAGGAGGACAAAAGAGTGGGGAACGATTGAGAATGGTGTGGAGTGAGCAGGGTTTGACTCCAGCTCTCAGAAGAATCAGTCGTGTGCTTACCTTGAGGGGCGAGAGAGGAAGTGGCGGGGGCCAGCCAGACAGCCGTAAAGCCAGCAGCAGCAATGGCGGGCGCGAGGGAGGCCAGGTGCCGCCACCAGCCCTGGGGGTGGCCGCAATTCAAAGAGGCAGGGGGCTTACATTGAGGGGCGAGAGAGGAAGCGGCGGGGGGTTTACCTTGTGGGGCAAGGGACGAAGAGGCGGGGGGTAGCCAGACAGCCGTGAAGCCAGCAGCAGCAATGGCGGGCCCGAGGGAGGCTAGGTGCCGCCACCAGCCCTGGGGTTGACCGTGTGACTCCCAGTTAAAGCCCTGGTGTAAGGGAAGGGGAAAAGGGAGGAGTGAAACGTGAAACTTGGGAAAGTACTAGAGCACGTGAGTACATGAAACTTGGGAAAGTACTAAAGCACATGAGTACATGAAACTTGGGAAAGTACTAAAGCACATGAGTACATGAAACTTGGGAAAGTACTAAAGCACGTGAGTACATGAAACCTGGGAAACTAATAGAGGAGGCGAGTGCATGGATACCTATAAAACGTTAACGCTCTGAACTGTTGTATGCGTACACCGTTATACCAACAAACCCTCATTTACCAAAGAAGTTCAACATTTTCGTTACCTGCAGCACGATCTGGTTGCTCCAATCGCTAATGGCTTGAGCTGTCGAGGCAAGGGGAGACAAAAGGGCGGCAGAAACAGGAACTTATGAATAATTCAAAGAAACAGGAAACGAAGTCGTTGGTGGATGATAGGGACGCGAAGGACATGCTGGAAATCGCCCTGTCACTGTCACCCACCTCATCATCCACACAAACGAAACGGGAAAGACATGGATCGAGGGAATGACGAAGAAATCTGCAACTCCGAGAACGTCTATTGCGGCGTGCAACCCTGAAAAACATGGAGTGAACAACGTGGAATCTGGAAGCATCTAGCTCGCAAGTTGGCAGCAGGTATCATGGAGACTGCAAAAATCTGAATACATTACTTTGCCTCGTCAGAATTCGGAATCACATGGATCTGGAGCGGTAGCCACCTATCTTCATGTATTCTCGGTTACCTTGCAGCAACTTGAGGAGTTTACCTTCATCCGAGTCCCCTGGCAGGTCTCTCGTATCCCTCCCCCATCCTTAGAGAATTCTCAAATGTGACACATGCATGTCCCTTCCGTTACCTTGCAGCAACTTGAGCAGTTCATCTTCTTCCAAGTCCCCTGGCAGGTCTCCCTTATCTCTCCCCTCACCCTTCCCCTCATCCCCTTCCTCATCCCCATCACCACTACCTCTCCGCCTCATATCCTCACGCCCATCCACTGCATCTTTACCCTCTTCTCTCCAAACCCCACTCTCGCCTCGTCCCTCCGCCCATCCGCTCCTTTCCCCTTCCCCCTGTCGTCCCCCCACCTGCTCCCTGCTCTCCGCCCCTCCAGCCACAGCTGGGCCAAGCCACTCTCTCTCACTCCTTTCGCTCCCGTCGGTTTGAATCCCCTCCATCTCCTCAGCACTACCTTCTGTGCCTAGCTCATCGCTCCCCCTTCCAGTTAAACCCTCCAGTTCATTCTCGCCCCCAGCGGTCTCCCCACCACTCCCCCCAACTGGCTCCCCTACTCTCTCCACACCAGCTGTAAGAGTTTCCGGGCCTTCCTTCGTCTTCCCTGATCTCGCTTCCACCCTCCCTCCGTCAGGTTCCTTGAACGTCAAGGAACGAATGTAATCTACCGTGCCCTCTGCTATCCCCCCATTCCCTGCAGCAACATCCCCTGCACCACCCCGAGCAACCCCCCCTGCAAAACCTCTTGCCGCATCTCCCGCCATCCCCTCTCTCCCCCGTAATCTGCCTTGTTGTGTGTCTGCACGCTTCCCTGCACGCTCGCCTGCCTCCTCTGCACGCTTCCCTGTACGATCGCCTGCCTCCTCTGCACGCTTCCCTGTACGCTCGCCTTTCTCCTCTACACGCTCCTCATCCCGCCCTTCTGCACGCCCCTCGGCACGCTTCCCTGCACGCTCAAGTGATTTTTGAGGCGCCTCAAACATCTCCTCACTCCCCCGTAATCTGCCTTCTTGTGTGTCTGCACGCTTCCCTGCACGCTTCCCTGTACGCTCGCCTTTCTCCTCTGCACGCTCCTCATCACGCCCTTCTGCACGCCCCTCGGCACGCTTCCCTGCACGCTCAAGTGATTTTTGAGGCGCCTCAAACATCTCCTCACTCCCCCGTAATCTGCCTTCTTGTGTGTCTGCACGCTTCCCTGCACGCTTCCCTGTACGCTCGCCTTTCTCCTCTGCACGTTCCTCCTCATCACGCCCTTCTGCACGCCCCACGGCACGCTTCCCTGCACGCTCAAGTGGTGTCTGGGCGAACCGAGAGTGCAGCAGCATGAGAGCAGCGGCGCAAGCAGCAGCAGCAGAAGCGGCCACAGCAAGGGTCAGCTGTGCGGGAGGTGGGCGATTGAGGCCACTGCTGCTGCTGCTGGGGAAGGAGACTGAGGATGGGAGGGAGGGGTGGAATGGAGAGGCACGGAGGGAGCGTTGAAGACAGGATAGTAAGAAATGACAGAGAGAACGAACAGAAGCGTGAACCAGGGTTCAATGAGCAACTGAAGTGGGGGAAATGGTCAGTTTTTTTTTTTTTTTTTTTTTTTTTTTTTTGTGAAAAGGGAGTACCGTTAGGAGATCCAACAGAAAAGATCCAATCATGCTGCTTCCGAGGCATGGACCGGCTGACTGCGTATCGGTCGGCAGCAGGCTGCTTCTCGTCCCGCTCGCCCTCCTTGCCCTCCCTGCCTTCTTCGTCCGTCTCGTCCCTCACTTTTTCCTCCTCCTCTCCCTCTGGCTTCTCTTCCGAAGCAGTCAGCTGTTTAAATTCCTCGTTTCTTCCTCCTGCTCGTGCGCTCCTTTCCCAAGACTTCCGAAGGAGATTCCTGTGCGCAGAACAGCGAAAAAGAAGAGGGGAAGAGTGCAAAGGGATAAGCGCAGTTGTCACGGGTTGATTGTGAAGGGATGAATGTCAAGGAACGAATGCCAAGCGATGAATGTTGAGTGCTTCACAGGTATACCAACAGAGTGTGATTCGGAACGAGACATAATTGTTGGAGTAAAACCTTCCAACAGGAAACGTTGCAACTTGTCTTGCCATCACCTGCATGGACATACGGAATGAACGATTACATACTTTCGCGAAGCTCGTCTGGTCCTTCCAGATTCGCTTCTCGCCTTGATGTCTTCGCCGAGCTGGTTACTACCACTCGAAGTGTCGCCTTTCTGTCGCTTACGTCGCTCAAGCGAGTTCGCGAAAACTACTACGCGCCAGGAGGATCTGGTTACCCCATCGCCGTCTACACGTGGAGGCTGTCTGCCGGCGCCGGCAAGTAAGAAAGACTGTCCAGTATAGACGAACTTCGCGCCGTCAGCTCGTTGACTGTTAAGCCAATGGCGAGAACTGTGGTTTTTCGGAAGGGACTGAACGTGAGCTGAGCACGGTCGCCATGACATTGTGGCTGATGCATTTTCTGATGGTGACTGCAGAGACTCGTCTTCAATGACCGCAATTCATTCAGCCATGCCACTCAAATTCACTGAACAAAGCGGTTCTTTCCACTTTAGAGCGCTTGGATAGGTCTAGGAAGGATGTTGAACTGCTGAAGCAAGGTAAGGGGAAAATTCTATAAGTTCTAGGTTTGCTTGGCGGGCACTGGATTGCCAAATTCTGGAGTGGAAATCGCGTTACAGCGATAAATTGTTTTCATAGTAAATGTTGTTGGGGAATGTGTCAGTGCTTTGTACACATTACAGCGTTACTGAGAATATGAAGTGGCGAGCCAATCAATGAGCTCGCCAATTATTTTGGCGCCAAGTTTGACCAGAAACACGAAAACCTCACCTCCATATTCGCTATCTCCACACGGTCGCAAGAGGACCAACGCAACTGCTACTGTCCCTCCGATCTGACAACTTCGTTTATAATCACACCCCATAAACTAGCTCCAGACTTCCAGAATCCAACTTTCTCAACGACTCCATCAGGATCTTCCAGCAGTAATCTAGGCACCAGGACGGACACATTCTATCAAACCTAAATTTTAGTTCGCAAGCATAATTTTGCAGAGCAGATCCTACTCATCCTTTCACTACAGTTCTCGAAAACAGTGGCTCGCCTGCCAGTTCTTCCCTGTCATCTCTGCTGAGGAGGATTTATTTTGAGCACACCTCGTCATGGCGGGCCCAGGAGAGGTAATGTCAGCCGTTCTTTTCGTGTTTGTCTTCAGAATTCGACAATAAACAAGTGCGGTGGACGTGATCTTATGTAAACACTACATTGACCTTCACTGGTGAAACGTGGACTCTCTTGGGATATTGAACCCAGTCATTGACTTTTTGCTAATGGATCTCGCCGTACATCTTATATTTTTCTCATGCAACAGCCTCGAAATGAGCTGGTTGCCTTATTTCCTTGGTCAGGTGCCATCTCCACCTCCCTGATCCTGATTCTCCGCATTCTTCCATCGACCTGAAATCCTTTTCTCAAATTTCGCCTTTCATCTCCCTCGTTTCCCCAGGGACAGACGGTCCTTCAGGCTCAACCCCACGCTCCTGGTCGTCCTGGTCGTAGTGGCTTGTTTTATTTCGATTTCTTTTAAAAAGTGCATCTTTTATTTCCCTTTTTCCTACAGGGTCAAACGCCACCTCATTCAGGCTTCAACCCCACGCTGCTGGTCATCCTGGTCGTGGTGGGCTTCTTCGTTCTCTTCCTCGTCGGCCACGCTGCCATGTACTTCTACGCACAGAGCGTTCTGCCACCCAAGAAGAAGAAACCCGTCTCTCAGAGGAAGCTGAAGCGGGAACGCCTCAAGCAGGGGGTCTCAATCCCTGGTGAATGAAGCGGGAAAGTCGTTCACAATTGTTATAGCTCATTATACTGTAGCATTGTCTTATGACGTGGAAACATATTGTTTTACTAGCTCTAACAGTTCTTTGTCCAGCAAAACCCCACACCCTGAAAGCGCTGAACTTTCCCTTACAACTCATGGACTACACAAATGAAGCCCGTACAGAAAAACTACCCTGCTAACCTACACAAAGCTGGGCTACTCCAACCAGTAGGCACTCAATGTCCCTTACTCGCCCCCAACGTGTAAGAAAATGATGTCCGTATGCCTGGACTAGGGCGAGTGGTACTAGCAGTTGACCCTAAAGGGCTGGTGTATGGGCTGTTAGTGGAAGCGCTGCTGAAGCTGCCTTGATTGGCCACGGCAGTGCCGCTGGCAGTGGCAGTCGCGCCAAGGTTGCTCAAGCTTCGCCTTGCTGCCCTCCTGTTGTTGCTGACCAGCCGCTGAACAGTATCCACCAGCAAGCTGTGCAAGACGGAAGCAGAGACAAGCACCGAGAGCCAGGGTCACAGGGAGATGACTTTTTAGGCGCTTGAACAACAAGCAAGCTGTGCAAGTTAGGAGCACAGAACCAGATGGAAAATGCATGAGGCTGTTAACATGGATGGCTGTTAACATGGATGCTATGCATGACCTTCCCCTTTGTACGCACCGTATGTTGATTGGCTTTGTGAGGTACCCATCCATTCCTGCCTGCCTGCACTTGGCCTCGTCACTGCGTGCCAGACAAGGGGCAAAAGAAAGGTTGGCAAAGAGAGGTTGGCAAAGAGAGGTTGGCAAAGAGAGGTTGGCAAAGAGAGGTTGGCAAGAGAGGTTGGCAAGAGAGGGAGAGGCAAAACGAGATGATACATGGAACTCCCTCCCCCACCCGGCGAGTGCATGAGCAGTGAGCGTACAGATGACAGTGTGCAATGCAAAGCAGTGCGAAGTGGTGCAGAGGATTTTGCAGAGCAACTGCCATTCCTTCACCTGGCGAGTGCATGAGCAGTGAGTGCACAGATGACAGTGTGGCGCCCCGTGCCCCTCTCTGCGGCACGAATGGTCCTCGTGGCCGTGTACCCATCCATCACTGGCATCTGCATGGGCGGACAGGCACAGGGAGAGGCATCTTGATGCGTGTGCTGAATCGGTGTGATGAGGTGCAATGACGAGCACTACATAAGGGGAAAACGCTAAGTACCTGGCAGTCCATGAGCACAATGTCGAAGGGATCCGCTGCTGCTGCTGCTGCTGCATCCCCTACTCCACCCATCCCACTGCCCTTGCACCCATCCACCCCAGCTGTAGCGACCACATCACTGCCACAATTCGCTGCTGCAGATGACGCTGCTACAACTGACGCTGCTACAGCCGATGCTGCTACAGCTGTCCCTGCTGGGTCAAACGGGTTGGAAAAGGACGACCTGGGTCTCTCCTCTCCCCTCTCTGCGAGCTGTGACTCAATGGCCTCAGAGCTCCAACCCTGCTGCACACCTGCTGCCTCACACCCTTCCCCAAAACCACCTCCTCCCCCGCCTCCTGCTTCAGCTTCTTCAGCTGCTGCCGCTGCAGCTGCTCCCCCTCCTCCCCCTCTCAATGCTGTTCCCACGGGAGGGCTTGACGAGAGAGATGAGGCCAGAGGGCTGGAAGAGAGGGGGGAGGCGGAGGGGAGGGCAGAGAGGAGAAAGGAGACAGAGCCACTGCTGCCCCGGCGAGGCTTCCAGCGAAAAGGACCTGCGGAGGGCGAGAGTGAGGCAGAATGAACAACAGCGACAGAGGGAGAGGCAGTGGCAGATTGAAGGGCAGTGGCAGCAGAGGAAAAGAGAGACCGGACAGTGCTGGTAGGGGTGCGGGGGCTGCTTGCTTTGCCTGCGTTTCCCGCACTGCCTGTATGGGTTGTCCCTGCGGTGCTGTGTGGTGCAGTTGAGGTCCCTGCGGTGCTGTGTGGTGCAGCTGAGGTCCCTGGGGTGCTTGAGTTGAGAGAGTTGCCTGACCGGGGCGCTGGGCTGCTGCTGCGCTCCCTCTCTAGCTTCCCTTCCCTCTCAAGCTTCCCTTGCCGCCCTGCTGCTGCTGCTGCTGCTGCTGCTACAGTTGATTCTGCTGCTGTTGCTGCGGATGAGCCGGCCAGAATCGCTTCTCTCGCCATGCTGAAACTCTTCCTCCTCCTGCTGCCACTGCCACTAATGCTAGCATTACCAGCACCACTACCACCGCCACCACCAGCATCACCCGCACCACCAGCACCACCAGAACCACCACCAGCCGCAACAGCAGCAGCAGCAGCACCAGAAGTCTCATCGTCATCCCCCCACGAGCTCAGCACGGCAGCAACAGCCTGCTGCCCATCCGAAGCCACAGCCACATGGGCTCCCATTTTCCTAAGCATGGACGCTGCCAGCTTCTGCAGCACTGCTGTGTCCTCCACCACCAGGATATGCAGCCCTGCCAGCGGCTGGCCTGTCGGCATCGCCCCTCCCCCTGCCGCTCCTCCTCCTCCTGCTCCTCCTGCTGCTCCCCCTGCTGCTGCTGCGGCTCCTCCTGCTGCTGCTCCTGCTGCTGTGGGTCTACCAGTGGTGTCTCTCCCAGGGGTGTGGGCCCCTGTCATGCCTCGCCTCGCCTTGCTCTGCGGCACTTCAAAGCTGGGCCGCGCTCGCCAGGCAGGGGCGTCAGCGTCAAAGCTTGGCCGAGCTGCTGTGGGAGGGGTGGTGGGGGTGGACGGGCCCACGCTGCCAGGGAGGGAGGAGGAGGACAGGGCAGGCGTGGGAGGAGTGAGTCCCGAAGCAGATCCCGAAGCAGAAGCAGAAGCAGAGGCAGCTGTGGAAGCCAATGGACCAGACAATCTTTGAGCCCGCCGCTGCTTCTGCCGACTCCCTTCCCGCGACCTCCTTCCCGGTGTGACCGCCGGGGACTGGTGATTCGATCCCACGCTTCCCTCTCGTGAATGCTGCGGCGACTTGTGAGTCGACTGCCTGCTTTCCTCTCTTGAACTCCTTCCAGGGGTGATGGCTCGCCTGCCATTGCTGCTGCTGCTGTCACCGAATTTGGAAATTCTGGCCGTTCCTGTTGGTGCTGCTGTTGCTGTTGCTGTTGCTGCTGCTACCGTTGCCTCGTAGTCTGATGAGGAGTTGCTGCGGAAGAGGCCTGATAGGCCAGAGAGGCGGTTCGTGAGGGAGTGAGTGAGGGAGTGAGTGAGGGAGTGAGAGAGGGAGTGAGAGAGGGAGTGATAGAGAGAGTTTGTTGGGCTGCGAGCCTTGGACTGTGTTCTAGTCGGGCGAGGCTGACCCTCCCCACGTCCCTCTCCCCTTCCGTCCCCCCCTCTTTCTCCCCCTCTCTCCCCGCATCCCTCTCCCCCACCCTCCCTTTCTCTCTCTCCTCCGCCCTCCCCTCCTCTCCCTCCCACTCCCTCTGCCCCTCCCGCGACACTCCTCCTCTCACTACCACTCCACACCGAGCTCAACACCTCTGCAATAGAGCCAAACGGCAACAGCGCTCCTGCTCGCGGACTAGGGGTGTTTGACTGGCTACCATGGCCGCTAAAAGCTGACATTCGCGCTGCTGCTGCACCTACTGCTGCTGCTGCTGTACCTGCTGCTCCTCCTCCTCCTGCTGCTCCCCCTGTTGCTGCTCCAACTGTGGCAGTTGCTGTCTCCAGTTGAGCTTCTGTGTCACCTCCCCACTCACCCTTCTCTTGAGTCGACTCAAAAGCACCTCCCCACTCACCCTTCTCCCCACTGTCCGTCCTTGCACCAATCCTCTCCACCCCGCTCCCTCCCATTCCTCGCCTAGAAAACCCCCTTGGGTTGTCACCGCAGCAAGGGCTCGTGGAAGGGCGTTGGGGGACGGTGTAGGAGAGAGAGGGGAACGGCTCAGGTTGATTCTGGGCGTGGGAAGTTGATTCGATGGAGAGGTGTGACGAGTGGTGCTGCAGGGTGTTGGGTGTAGCGGATGTGGTGCGCAGGAGAGATGAAGAGTGCTGCCAAGGGAGCTGATGGGTGGTTGGTGATTGTGGCACCTGCTGCTGCTCTTGCTGCTGCTCTTGCTGCTGCTCTTGCTGCTGCTCTTGCTGCGCTTGTAGCTCCCTCTTCTTCTGCTCCCCCTCCTTTTGCTGCTGCGTCTGCTGCACTCTATGGCCAGCTGGCAGCTCCAGGTGCTTCGTCAGGTCAGCATCAACCTCCCTCCACTCACCTGAACTCAATCTAGGTTCACTAAGAACCGCTACAAAGTCTCTCCTCTCAGACCCTCCGAGCAAGTTTCCTTCCTCAGAGCCACTGGGCGAGTCTCTCCCTTGAGAGAAATCAAGCAACTCTCTCCCCACATACCCTCTCCCTTCAGAACCACCATTCAACTCTGGTCCCCCAGAACCTTCAGGCACTTGTACAGACAGCCCCCTCAGAAGCCCAAACTCCAACGCTGATCCTGTCCTAGGAATTTTCCCTCCCGTGCCGTGCCCATCCTGCTGGGTTGTCTCTGACGCAGCGGGCACTCTTGACTGGCCTGCTTCCACGCTAGCAGCAATGCCAGCGGCAGTGCCAGCAGCAATGTGAGCAGCACAAGCAGCTCCTCCTGTACCCTCTGCTTTCACCACTCCCCCAGCTGCTAATGCGCCCTCTGCTTCTCCACCTCCTTCCTTCACTTCTCTTGACTGCATGCCTGGCTGCATACTCGTTCGTACAACTGGTTCTGCCTCAAGGCCAGAAAAACAGAGTGGCAGAGTGGTGTACCTGGCAGAGTGGTGGTTGTGAGGCGCCTCAAGAAAAACAGACGCCCCACTTGTCCCATCCACCCCACTCGCCCCACTACCACTGTATCTAGCAGAGTGGTGTTTGTGAGGCGCCTCAAGCACAGATGCCTCACTAGCAGTGTACCTGGCAGAAGGGTATTTCTGAGGCTCGTCAAGGGCAGACGCCCCACCAGTCACCTCACTAGCAGCGTACCTGGCAGAATGGTGTTTCTGAGGCACGTCAAGAGCAACCATTCCACTCGTCCCATTCGCCCCAGCCACAGAGTACCTGGCTGAATGGTGCTGGAGCGACCTTCTGGGCATGGGAACCACACGAGGGGCGTCTAGAGGGGCTGAGCTTGTGCGAGGCATGCTCCTGGCAATCAGGCCAACATTGGGCATCCCTTTGTTGGACGCATCGAGAGAAGCAGAGGTGGTGCGAGCCATGCTTTCGGGTGCATCAGGGGCGTTGGAGCTGGTGCGGGCCGTGCCTTTGCTGGGAGCGTCAAGAGAAACAGAGCTGGTGTGAGACATGCCTTTGGATGCGTCTAGAAGAGCGGATTTGGAGCTGGAATTGGTACGGGCCATTCTGTGAAAGCCTCGCAGGTAGCCTGCTGCCTGCGAGTGAGGCGAGGACACAGAAGCGGGTGGAGCTGCTGCTGCTGCTGCTGAGCTTTCCGCAGCTAGTCCCGGCCTGAGAGAGCTTGCTGTTGCTTGCTGGGAGGAGAAGGAGGAGTGGTTGGAGTGGGTGGGATGGTTGCTGGTGGAGTAGAGTACGGTGCTGCCTTTGAGGAATGCTGGTGGCTGTGAGAATGTTGACTCTGTGTTCTCTGCCCCTCTCCTGTGGTAAGCCACTGGCTGGGAGTGAGGCGACGGGGCTTGGGTTGGTGATATGGCGAGGGCAGGTGACGTGGCATGAGCAGGTGACGTGGCATGGGCAGGTGACGAGGCATGGGCAGGTGACGTGGCGTGGGCACTAGTAGAGTAAGGCGGAGGAGCATGCAGATTACCAGTGGAACCACCCAGCCCCATCCCCATGCCCATGCCCATGCCCATGCCCATGCTGCTCTCATGCATTCCTAATCCATTGGCACTACCAGCACTTCCCCTCCGCACATGCAGTCCCATGGTCCTTCTCCTCCCACTGCTACTCCCCCCTCCTCCACGCAAGTCATACTTACTACCACCACCAGGGAGACTCCCACTCCTGCTCCCCCCTCCTCCCTGCAGGTCGTACTTTCTGCTACCACCAGCAAGACTTGGGCTGCCACTGCTGCTCCTCCCGCTCCCCCGAAGGTCGTACCTACCACTACCTCCGCCAGGGAGCTTTCTAGGAACATTCCCACGCCCAGGTGACACCTTATACACTTCTGGTATCGGCTCAGACCCGATCGCAAACAGCATTCCAGACAGCACGCCAGGTGAAACGCCAGGTGACACCCCAGGTGACATGCCAGGTGACATCCCAGGTGAACCACGCGGCGACATTTGCGTCGACATGTGCGGAGCTTCCAAGATGGTTTCGTGGCTCAAGCTACTAGGCCCGAATCCAGACAGCACACTGGACTGATCATACCCCATACCACCCATACCGGCCAGCACACTAGGCTGGTGGTCATAGCCTATTCCAGAGAGCATGGTGGGTTGGCAGAGAACAGAGAGGGAGGAGGCCGCTGCATAGCTCTGTACGGCTGACATGGACCGGATAAGACCCAGCCGGGACGCACCGGAGAGAGAAGCAAACTGAGGCAGGCCGGCTAGACCCGGCCAGCCCAGCCCTATTCCATTCAGGTTCCCCGCACCTGCCGCAGAAGCACCAGGAGCACCCGCAGCAAAGCGCGCACTACCGCCGAAGCTGCTGCTCAGCTTCCGGATCTGTGCCGAGCCTCGCCCGAGGCTGCCTCCCTGGCCCGGGCTGACTAGAGTGGTAAAATGCGGAAGCGCAGAGGGAGAAGTGAGCGACGCTGAAGCAGCAGCAGCAGCTGAAGGGCGGTGGGCCATGGAGGAGGAGGGATGGCTGAGATTCTTCCACAAAAGAGGCGCGACATCCGTTGTAACGGTATTCTGGTGTATAAAATTGACAGATCAGTTTAATCATTTTTCGAGCGGAGCAAAACGGTGCATTAAGAGAGCAAAGCTGCTCCCCTGCAACTCTATGGCGCCGACAGAAGGAGCTGTCTTACTCAAGTTGAGCTTCCATACTCCCTTTTGCCGGGGCCTGTTATGTATTCTGTTCACGCCATGGGCGTGTTCGTTTTATTGGCTATTTACAATAACATTGTAGCAGGGGGCGGGTGCTTGCTGCTAATCATGCAGAAACAGCCATCAACGCCATCAGTCTTCTGATGAGTAAGATTTGCTGGGTGCCTCTGTTTGTAAATGCTTATTTGATATTGCTCACATCGTACTGTACTGGTTTGGTAGTACGTATAGGTTGGGAAAGTTTGGCAATCATGTGTACACATAGATGCAGTTGAGTGGTGAACCACAGTAGGATTGTTCAACATCTTTATCACAACTTGGGGACGGGGATGTAAAAAAATGGTCTCTCCATCAATCACGATGCCTGATAAATATTTGTTGTTTATCAAGAAACAGGTCCCAGTATTGAATGTGCGTTTTCAATCTTTACTTGCTACGGAGTCAACACAAAGCGAGCTGCTGTGGATAAACGACCTGTCTTAGTGAGCTATTCCTGCCAAAAAATCCCCAAAGCAACACGTATAAATCACCCCATCAAGAAACCCAATCAAAATACCCAGTCGCGTACACTGGTATATTCATCAAATTTGTTTCGTATAACAAAACATATATGAATGTGCAATAGAAAAAGGGCTTTGGCCTATCCTTTGTGAGTATACATATAATTGCAATTATAAGTCAATGTAACAAAAGGGCATGATATTATGTGAAAAAAAACACCCAGTCAAGGCGCCCCAGCGTTTTCAATATTTGTAAGGAGTTCTACTAGCGAGAACGTGATACTAAGGCAAAAAATTTTGTGGACCTTATTTCGCCCTGTTGTTAGTTGCAGTGTATCAACACCATAGCACTAGTGAAAACACGACCATTCTACACGAGTGAATATACACTAGTGAGCGTCGGCTTCTGCCTGTTATCAGAAGTCATTCGCGCGTTTTCTGTACTTTGATTGGCCAACTGTCCCTATGCCGTGATGCACAATTGGTTTGTTGAAGGGTCCGTGTGGAAAAGAAACCAATCAAACAACTGCTGATCCTTCAGTCTTATCATGGCGAATTGTGTTGAAGCGGCCGCCAAAAGCTGGGCCACGACGGCTGCCTATTGGTTCGAACGGAGCCCAGTCTGGCTGCTTTGATGTTCCCGAGTCAGCAGCATCCCCTGTGACCGAAAGTTGCATGCGCAACAATTTGGTGGTGTGTCGTATTTAGTTTCTTTTCGATAGGGCGAAGATAGTGGTTTGGGGTAGTGCATCGTAAAACCCGGCGCAGAATTTTGAGGAAGGGTGGAGGCACCAATATATAAATATAGTTTTAGGTAGCGATTTGTACATATCATCCGCTTGATCCACTTCGACCTGCAGGCATGCCTCGATCAGGCTGCTGAAGGGGGCGACTGTGAGTCCCCCGTCCATGCGGTGTATAACATCTGCGAGAGCAAGGGCCTCCTTGAAGAGCTTGGAGCGCGCGAGCATACACTCGCACATTCACACATGTAGCGACACCTGCCCTGTGCTAAGACTCAACTCACATTTGTACAAAACCTCCTTCACCCTTTCACTTCACACAGGTCTTCCAACTTTTCCCCGCCCTCCATCCACCTTTCCTAACCTTTAGGACGTGGAATCCCGCCACAAGCTACGGAGCGCGTACTAGGGCCTGCCTTTCCCGTTCTGCTCTTCTTCACACACGGACAATAACCTTTTTGTTATCTTTCGCGGATGATTGGCAAAACCTCTCTTGCGCTCTTTCCACATGGTCCCCCATTTCCGCCGGCCCATGTGATCCTAGTCGCTAACGGCGACAGCGCAGCAGAACTGCTGCTGCAATATGTGGCGCGTGCTTTCTCCAATGATCGCTCACGTGGCGCACAAGCACAGATAAAAAGGCACGCACGCACCTCATTAGCTGCCCCAGCATTTAATTTACGCCACGTGAACACCCCAGGCCACTTGCGCCACTAGATCTCCGAAAGAGCTTGGGCCCACGAGAAACTGGCGCCTCTAGGTGAAATGGCAGCACCCGAATCGCGTTGCTTGTGATTCGGCTTTCCCTGGAAAGAGCGGCGCCGAGAAGCTGCAGCAATACGGAAGCCACGTGGCAGCGTACTTACCACGATCAGGAGGAGCTCAGCCAAGATAAGATGCTTCTCCCGATCTTTCCCGTCGACTACCCCCCCACTGAACGTAAATACGCCCCATATTTACTCCCTCCATACTTATACGTAATCGCAATCCTTAGCCTGTCCAAAATTCGCGGAGATCTCGATATCTTTGCTCCATACACACGAGCATACGAGGACACGCGGCGCCCACAGCCTAACACCCTCGCTATAGCCTGAGCTTGCACCAACGAGATAAAGGAGTCTCACTTCAGCCAAGGCCGTCGCCATTTCTATCGTTGCTATTTTGCTAGCATCTAAGACCCTGCATTGTGTATCGTTTCTACATGCTCCCAAGTCCGAGACGCCGTAACGCCTGTCGCATAGTACGGAGCTATACTAAGCCTGCCGCATTCGCCACCAGCTACCATAATTTTCGCCCGTGCCTTGCCATCGTCGGTAAGCACGAGCAAGCGAGACACTTTGCCTTCCCAGACGACTCGCATCAGCACCAGTGCTAATCCATGATGGCTGCTGTGCGAGTGGATGGACCTTCTTCGCCCGCGCCGGCTTCCGCCGTCGCAGACGTTTCGACCCGTGGCGATGCTGACGTCACTATCAATCTGATCAGTCTCCGCCGCGAGCGCCGCGTTCGTCGCTCTGCGACGACTGTACATCTGCGGGCATCGTCGGGTCTACCCATACCGACCTCCGCTTCTGTCGACGACGTGCTTCCGCGAAGCGCTGCTTCTCGCACTTCAAGGCGCCGAGCTGCTGCCACAAACGGCGAGACGTCAGCATCTTCCTTTGCTACTAATTCCCGGCGAATGATCCATAACGGGGAGCCTCTGCCTGAGTTTAGGGCCTCGCCCGCACCTTCCAGCGCGCATCCGAGGGAACGCGGTGCCGCTTCCCCCGGGCAGCGTCGAAATTCCGCCTCAACGGAAATTCTCGCTATTGCTGAACAGCTGTTCGGGGATCAGCGTCCTGCGAATTCGTCTGATGGAGATTTTCAGCGAAATGCTACTACTTACGCAAGAAATGCTGGAAGCACGACGGAGGGAGTGCGCGATCTGGAAGTGCTCGAGCGGCGTGGCCAAAGAACATCAGGTATGCGCACAAGAAGAGGATGGCTATCGGAAAGAAGAGCCGAATTACTCATGAATCCTGCAGCGGAGTCCGTGGAATGGCGCAGTCGTATTGAATCCGAAGCTGACGGGTTTAGGGTACAAACAACAGAGATGGGGGCGAGAATGGAACGCGAATCTACGGTCGATGAGAGAATGATGAACAACGTGGATGGATGGTGGGATTTCGTTGGCGAGATGGAGAGCGACATGCTCAGTGACTGTAGCCGGAGTGATTGTGGCAGCCTTCCCAATTCTTGTTTCGGCAGCTTCAAGAGCACCAGCTCAGGTTTCGGGCCGAGGGATTCCTTGCTGGCCAGTTCCTTCGACGGGTGCAGAATTGGAAGTGGTTCTTCCGCTAGTGCCTACCAGACAAGAGGATCAGTGGGTTCTTCCGCTAGTGCCCACCAGACAAGAGGATCAGTGTTTGAACCTCTTGACCGATTCCCGTACGGGAATGCCACATTGGGATTTTTTGCCTGAACTTGGTTGGACGGAAACCCATGTCAGGTGCATCACTTAGGGCGTGATAAATTTGCTAGTACTAGGAAACCTATAAGAAAATGTATCACGCCCTATAAGAAAATGTATCACGCCCTTGGGGATCAATTTTGTTACTTGCTCGAAAGGCACATGAAGCGAGTATTCTTCAGACGTTCTTGTTCTACAGTACTACTGCCCCTAACTTATCATTTTTTTAATCCTCATTAAGGAGGCATTGGAAGGAAGGTATTTAGTAGATGTTAATGACAATAATGGTTTGAATGTAGCTTTGATAAAAAAGAAATGGGAACTTACTGGTCCTTATTGTTTGAGTATCTAGTCGAGCTGTAGCTATCACGAGATAGGCAAAGCTAACATGTCTTCCAAATATCCTTGTGACTTCACACCGCACATAGATCTACCCAATTATCGAAGTCGTGCATAACGGCGTATTTCGTTCCTTGGTTTGAGGGGACGGGTCAGGGGTCTCAGATGCGGATTGGCGGAATTGCTTACCCTAGTTTTGATTGGCTGGGTGAGGTGCACCAGTCGATTGATTGCCGGAAGCGACTTGAAGCTTGTGGCCTTGTACTGCTGCTGGCTTTTAGCAAAAAACAATCTGATTTTCCCGCCTTCTAGCCTGCTGCAAAGGCATCTCGGCAAAGGCATTTCTGTGGGAAGCCTCGCGAAGGCATTTCTGTGGGAATTTTGGGAGTACAAACCGTTCGTCCTTCTCTTCGCCAATTTGCACTCCATTCCGCAGCAGTGCTGCATCCATCCATTCTGCCTTCGTTGCTGTCATCGTGTGAAGGACGATACAGTTCACGTACGCGATCAAGTCACACGGAGTTCATGTGCTCCGCACAGGTACACTGGCACACTGGCTGCTCATCATTCACTCTCAAGCACACCTCAAGCTTCGCCAGTTCTAGACTCTGTCTGCATGAGTGTACACTATCCTCGATGAATGTATCGTAGCCAAAAGCAGGCCACATACGGCATCGGCAGGTGCGACAGCTGCGGCAGCAGCGGCAGCAGCACAAGAATGAGTACAGCGGCCAGGACTAGGGAAGCTCTATTACTGTACAGAAAAAGAGGTTGGCTCTTATGTACTTCTGAGGCCACTCAGACGTCAGTGATTGGTTGAAGCCGTGGCCCAACTATCAGCTTCAACTTCAGGGTATTATAGCTTGAAACTTGGTTGTCGCAGGCAGTTCAGTGGCGAGAGGTTTGTCTTGTGCGAGATTCCAATTTTTTCGTCCAATAAGGGTCCCGTTACACACACTCCATATTTGTCCTGCTGCTGTTCCTAAGAAGTTGCACCCCGCCTTTGATTGGTTGTCCGTCACTTCCCTTCCCTCCCCTTCGAATCTTGCCTCTTCTCATCGGTTCGCACCTCCATCGCCAAGCATCCTCCAATCGTCAGCGACTCGCGAATGGTTCAATGAAGGGAACCTCCGTTTAGGGAAGCCTGCTCCGACGTGCCTCTTCGAATCCAACAAATCCTTAACGATGCTGTAACGCTGCCGTTTGTAACGCCTGCGCGTCGATGCCCCAGCCTCGTGTGTGCATCGACTCAACAAACGCACACCACGGTACAGATGTAGTAGTGCCACCAGCACACCATCACTACGTGCTTTAGTACCAGCCGTGACAGCGGCAGATCACTGCCATTCGAATTGAATTGCATAAATCCATCAGTCAACCGCCTTCTGGCCGAAGAGCATCAGTCTATCTCCTTCACAAGTCGCAGCAGCTCCGCTGCAAGTACGGTATAGGCGCCGCGCGTGACCAACACTCGCACGCGCCTCCGAGGCGTCCTTGTCGCGTCATCATACGTTCCTTTCCTCGCGACACGTCGCATCCTGGCTGTCGTGGTCGCAGCGAGAAAAGGGAATTTCAGCGAATCACCGCTTGTTGCGCAGCTAATCGCTGATCGACTTTTACAGTACTACTGTACAGCGCGGGTTCTGCTGCGAAAGCCCTGCTCGAAAACTCGTCTCATCCGTCCTCATTCAGGCACTATCCGCGCTTCCTACGGTTTCCGGAACAACCTTTCCGTACATTGTATTTGGGAACTGCGGCTAGGAGCAGACAAGCTCGTACTGACTATAACCGAGCTTTGCATATGGTACTCACATCCTCGGATTCTGGGTCACTTCAAGCACCAAACACGACGATCATTGAGCTGAGTTGTTGAAGCTATTTACGTGAGTTTATTGCGAGACATGGCGTCCGAAACTGGCGGCGTCGCTGCGTTGAGAGAACTCCACGCTCTGGCAGCGGACGTCAATGTCAACTTTCGAGTCGACTCAAAAGACACTTGCGGCGTCGCTGCGTTACAAGAACTCCACGCTCTGGCGGCGGACGTCAACATCAACTTTCACGTCAGCAGGCCCCCGCGACGCGTCAAGCGCCGAAACTCCGCCTTAAAACTCTCTCCCTCCATGGAGATTCTGTCCATCGCAGAGGAAATTTTTGGTGCGCAGCATTTGACGCAAGCACCTGATCAGCAGGATGCTGTATTGCGAGGATTGCCGGCAGCAAGATCGGCGGAAAACGCGGACGGCGATCTGAGAGCAGTTGAGCCGCTTGGACAAGCTACAGCGCGAGCGCAGCAAGTTCGGGAATCGTGGAGAGGGAGGAATACCGAAGAGGGGAACGCTGTTGCCTCTGAGCCTCTGGAAACCGGAGAGCGGGGAATGCGGCGCGAACGTTTGCCGTTTGGGTTTTCGGAGGCGCAAGAAGCAGGAGGCGCGGGATACGCAGGGGAACGCGACGGGTTGGCGGAAGCCAGGGTTGTCTTTCCCACGAGGAACGGGGTGGGGGATGTTGCTGGGTGGTGGAATTTTGTGGGGGAGATGGAGGGGGAGATGCGGAGTGACTGTAGCGGGAGTAGTTTCGGCAGCTGCACGAACTGGAGCCGCTGCAGCAGCCTGCATGACTTGGGCAGCTGTTTCGATCCAAAGAGCTCCCCAGTTCCTAGTTCTTACAACGGGAGCCAATCAGCACGTTGGTGAATCTTCTAAAGGCTGCTATAGTGAGTACTGTAGTAAATATAAAATCGCTTCCCACACATTATAACCTAAGCTATATAGTTGTAGACAACGGAACTATAATGTATGCAATCCATGTACGGTATCATATGTAATCATTCAATATATAGAGAAGCACCAATGTAATAAACTTCTTTTACTCATTACATCAATGGCTGCATTTAGTCCCTCCCAAGCTTCGCATACACAAGGTGATGGTAAAGGTAGAAGCTGTTATGTGCTCTATCTCTTGAGCCCTTCCATCACATGAGTAGACCGAAAGCCCGGATGTGTACATACTTGAGCGACGCCCGTTCTCAGGTTCTTTGTGATTGTTGATAGCTCTCTGCATTATAGAATCGGTAGCTGGAGGGAGAGTGGACGTGGGAAAGGGCTCAAGAGGATGGACACAACAGGTGTTATAGTGAATTGAACAAGCATCAGCAATTCTTGACTGAATGACTCAACACCTGCAGCCATTGCACACCACCTAACACCCACCACCGCCATCGCACCGCACACCCAATACCCACCACCATTGTACCGCCCCCGACACCATTGCACCGTATCCAACACCATCGCACCACACCCAGCACCATTGCACTGCACCCAACCCCATCCCACCACCGCGTAATTCATGTATGCGGCGTGCAGGAACGCGCTGGCCACAGCAGTCACGAAAAGACGGCCCCTCAGCATGGGCTTGTGGCACAGCGTGATTTGTATCGAATACCATCCCACCGCACCCAACACCATCACACCTTACTCAGCCACACTATACCACACCCAACACCATCAGACCTTACTCAACCACACTATACCGCACCCCCAACACCATAATACCCCCACGTACTTCATGTATGCGCCGTGCAGGAACGCGCTGGCCACAGCAGTCACGAAGAGTCGGTCCCTCAGCTTGGGCTTGTGGCGCAGCGTGATGCGTACTGCGGGATGGAGGCGGGAGAAGCAGGGCGAGGAAAGACAGGGAGGGGGGGGGATTTTTATGCGCGTCGAAAATTGCCTCAGCTTGGGCTTGTGGCGCAAAGTAATGCGTACCGTACTGCCGGGGAGGCGGGAGGAACAGCGCCGAGGGGAAAGACAGGGGGAGTCAGTGGGGAGGCGGGAGGGCGGCGCATGAGAGACGGAGCGCGAGCAGCAAATGAACGAACCTTCTTGCTGACGGAATTTGCGATTTGGCGTATGGCGCGAGGGGATGCAGCGACTCCGGGAAAACAGGAATTTGGTGGGTGCGGGCTGTGCGGGATGTTTGGGTCAAGGTCGAGAAGAAGGAGGGGTGGCAAGAAAGTACTTAGTGGGAAGAGAGGCGCGTAGAGGATAGGCGTGATGAGCGAGTAGTCAGGCGCCTTGGCGAACCGACGCGCGGGTTGAATGGCCTCTGCCCTGCGATCATGGTACACAAGCGCGAATGGGGAAACTGAGTTACGGAGAACGGGGAATCAGGAAACTGGAAACGGGGATAACGAGGAGACGGGGACGCCACGTCGGTGTGTGTGACTGCAGACGCGTGGGTGTGCATGCGTCACGTGTTTAGGCTAGAATCTGGAGCGATAAGAGAGATTCTGACCCGGTAGATGGAGCCGCACCCGCCGCCGCGACTGACGCCGCCGCGTCTTGCGCAAACGCCGCCATGCTGTACAAGGGTGAAACGAACTCGGCCCGGAGTAGTATAGGAGGGTTGGCGAATCGCCGCCTCACCGAATCGTCGTGGATTCCACTGAGTACAGCGCAAGTAGTCACGACGGCGTCGTGTTAGCCGCCACGCTAGCGTTGTGCGAGGCTCGCACCAACCTAAAGACACTAGCTGCTTGCGTCAGTTTCCCAATACCCACTCAGCAAAATGGTTTCTGTTCCGTCTGCCCTGTCGGGATTTTTTCTACCAATTGGCGTGGCGCGAGTCGAGGGGGAGTTGGCATTCTACCACGAGTGAATGGACGGACGGATGTGAGGAATGTGAAAGGGAAAAGATCATGCAGGGGCCGAACAGTGCCAGACGGGTGATCGACCAAGGGCCGAGAGGCCCGGAAATTACCAAACCGCTGCACAAAAAGAGATTAACAGAGAGGTCTCGTTTTTTGCACGTAGTTATGTTACTAGTGGCATGCACTGGCTAGCATTTTCGCTCGCGTGTCGTTTAGCGAGCCGACTCTGCTGGGAACTCTTAGGGCAGCAAAAAAACTAAAACCCATAGGGAATCTGGATGCAGTTTCGGGATGGATCAACCCTAAAAAAGGGGACCTTCCTGGTATTCAGGGTTGATGCCTCCCGAGGCGCATCCGTTTCCGAATGGGTAATATTTTTTTTACTGTGCGTTTTCGATCGCGTTGGTGATATTTATCACCCATAATAAAATATGTTGTTACGTACTCACGATTTGACACGCCGAATTTTAATTCCAGAACAAGGCGACGCGCGCGCTGTAGTTGACGGCGGTCCAAACCCTTATTGAAGAAGTTTTACACGCAATTCGGTTTCTTCAGCAATTCTCTTTAACTCACGGTTCGGCTTGTTCGCCCAGCCATGCGGGCAGCTCCGGGTTGAAATCCTACGGTCGAGATTTTCCGGCCCTACTTCGATCACCCCTCTGGCACTGTTCGGCCCCAATATGATCATTTCCCGATGTGAAAAGCAGGATGCGAGCAGGAAAATTTGGTTTGTGGGTGTGTGTAGGATGTGCGCTGAGCTGGCAGCAGCTGGGGAAAGGTGACATGGCAGAATGGTGCCTTCGCTGGAAATGTCGGATGCGCGAGCCTTCTGGAGGTGCTTCCGGGGTATATTCGATAATAAACGGCTCGCATGTCCCAAACCTCACTGAGTTTGCGGTGTAGCTCTTCGAACTACATGTTTCACTCTACATTTCACTCACTCTCACTACATTTTTTTCTCTGTCCGCTGGGAGAAAACAAGTTCCACAACATGCTGTATATCCAGTATAATGGTGTACCGCAATACAACAGAATATAATTAACCTCAATTAGGGCAAAATTGGGTGTTTGGCTGAACAATACATTGCGCAAAATTATCCACCAGCCAGTCTGGTGGTTGGTACGAGTTAGGGTGAACCACCGCACTGACCGCAGTCAACCGCATAGGTTCGTCGAATCATGATGAATTAAACACGTGAATGCCATTGAGCGGGTCTGTCTGGCCGAATGAGCAGGCTGGAAGCCGGACTCCACCAGACAGGGAGCAGGCTGCTTGTTCGGAGTGTCGATGTCAATAGTGGCGAATGAGGCCGTTGGGAAATCTGTGATTGCATATCCCGGGTGCACTGCTAGCATCGCTGCACTCACTTGCAAGACCGACAGCCAGTCGGGACAATTGCGCGAGTAAATACTATTGCGCGAGTCTGGATGCGATGCCCGAGTGGTACATCGTGTCGTGATGCGTCTCCGATTCCTTCAGCATCTCCCGCAGCTTCCGCGCCTTCTCCGCCGTGAAAACCGGCGCCTTTCCCGCGTTAATCTGCACTGGGACCGACCCATCCGGCCCGCGGTGAACCAGGGCTTTCTTATTCGCCTTCTTTGGAGCGATGCTTAGTCCGGGAAGCGTGCGTTGCGGCGCCACAGGCGGGATCCTTAAAAGCCGGTTCGCCCGAAGGGAACCAGCCACGTCAGTCTCAGCAGGAGCGCTGACCGCGTTTGGCGGGGAGGCGAGCGAGCGATGTGGGCGATGAAAATCGGGCGTTGCCGGGGGTACGTTCTGCGAATCGCTAGGATTCGCCAGCCAGTGTTGCGACGAGTCGAACGACGAATCGGAGTGCGGCCACGAGGGGCCCATCACCGCCATCGTGGTCGAGCTGGTGGGCCTAGCAGCACCGCTGCCTGACAGAGAGCTGTCGCATGTTGAATCGCATGCTGCAGGAAGTCGCGAGCTAAGCTGCACGCCGAGAAAGGCCGACGGGAAGAGAGGTGTGGTTGCCATAGTCGAAAATGAGAAACAGCTTGATTGATTAAAGAACTGTGAAGGCCTGAAATGAAGAACCGAGTCCGTCACGTTAGATAGAGATAAAGCGCTATTGTTGGTTTTTGGTGGAGCTGATATTCACCGAGAGGATAGATGACTAGATGCAGGTGGGGAAGAGAGCAGTGCATGTCATGTCGACTCATCGTCAGGCGCATTCAAAAATTTGATGTGCGACCAGGCAGTGCGCGGGAGTTGATTGAAATTTCGAGTCGCTAAATTGGGATTGCGAAGCGCACATGCGAGCAGAATGAACCATTGGCTGCGCGTGATTGATGGCACTGGCCCCCTACGACATGCGAAGGCGAAGACAAGACACCCCTGCCGTTTCTCGAAAGCCCGCGAAAGCTGGTGGTGACAGTCCCCATTTTCGCAGCGCCTGGAAGCGGTGGTTGATTGGCTCGTGCGTAGTCTCGAAATGTCCAGCTATGCGTAGTTCCGACGCAAGCACTGATAAACGCGGAAAGAGGGGACTACACTTGAAGTTGCTCTTAGAGAATTGCACCTAATGAAAGGCTTATTTCACATTCGACACAACCAACAATGGCAAGCACTTCCATAATTAGAAGCCATTGCCGGCTACTTTGCCGAGCAATGCTGTGAAGGTAAATGAACAAATGATTGTGTTGCAGCAAGCAGCGGCATTCCAAAGAGCTCTCTAGAAACATTCTGAGGACTGTTGGTGTTAGATCATTTGAGGAGTTTGATGCAAGAGCTCATACATCCATTGAGGAGCGGCGGCCCTGCTGATGCTGAGCCGAGCCACTGTGCGCTCCTCTTTGCCGAGACACCTGACGCAATGGGGGAGGGTAGGGGGCAATCTTACTTGGATTGTGAACCCATCACCAACCCTGGACTCGCCCACCCAATCAACAGGTCACACTGCAAGCTAATCTCACACCTGCCCAACAGAAACGACAGAAAAAAACTGCAGCACGCACACACACGGGCAACACACACACGCACACACACCCCTACCTCCAACCCCACCCCGCACATCCACGCGCACACAGCCCCACCCCCACCCCCACCCCCACCCCCATACGCACACAGACACACTATGTCTCACCTGCTCTCTGCCACTGCCACTCCCAACACCCGATTCATCTTGCAGCTTTGACAACCGATGCGCCGCCGCCGTTGCTCTCCCTCCCGCCTCCCTCCCTCCTCGCCCCTCCACCTCTCGCCCTTCCCTCCCATCCATTTCCCGACCCATCCTCCCCTCCACCCTTCCTTCAGTCCTCATATCACCCCGCGCGTCCATGTCACGGCCTGTGGGAGAGTCGTCAAGAGAAAACAAGCTGCCACCTGCCCCGCCAACCCCACCCCCACCACCACCGCCGCCGCCGCCGCTGCCACTGCCTGCTGCTCGAGCTGCTTCCCTATTCCTGCGCCTGCAGGTGTGGAGAGCGGTAGGAAGGGGTGAAGAAACAGAGAAGGGGAAGTGAGAAGATACAACAACAATAGATGCCACAACGGATACGATTGCAAAGAAGGATACAATCCCAAGTGCACATAGCATGCATAAAAAAATAATCAGGCATCGGAGGTGGGCAATGCGAGAAGCTCACAGGGGATCGGGTTGTGCTTGAGCTCCAGGCAGCAGATTACCAAACTTGAACTCTGCTCCTCCGCCCTCCACTTCCATCCCCGCTCCCGCTCCACCTCCCCCTCCCCCGCCCCTCCTCGCCCCTCCCTCCTCCATCCCCCCTCCTCTCCTTCCTCCCCCTCCTCCCAACCCTCCGCCACCCCCCATTCCCATTCCTCCTCCCCCCATCCTCCCCCCGCCGCTGCCCCCTCCGCCACTCCCCTCCCCCAGGTCAAACTCCCCCTGGAAAATATTTCTGCCCGCAACGCCAGGCGGGGAGAGAGTGGGGGATGTAACAGCAGAACTCGACCCGTACACCTCATCAAACCACGAGTCCCTGCCTCCTAGCCCCCCCCCTCCCATCCCGCCTCCCCCCATTCCCATCCCCCCCATCCCTCCTCCCCCCATCCCGCCTCCTCGACCCATCCCCCCACCACCCATTCCCCCTCCCATCCCCCCACCGAATCCCCTTCCCCCCATACTACTGCTAGCACCACCACTGCCGCCCCTCATACCCATCCCCATTCCCATCCCCATGCCTCCACTCCCCCCCCCTGCCCCTCCCGCCATCCCCCCTCCTCTTGCACCTGCCCCCACTCCTGCTCCACCCGAACCTCCTCCCATCATGTCCCCCGTGCCTCCAAGGCTGCTTCGGGGACTAGGTCTGGACCAGGGCCCTTCCAGCCCTAGCCCGCCCATCATCTCATCAATATCGAAGCTCTCCCGACCCATGCTCGCCGAAGCAAACGACGAGGCTCGGGACATAATCGCATCCGGCGGGAAATTCAACAGCGGCCCATTCTGATCCAATCGCACGCCGCCACCTGGCGGAATCCCCACTCCCCCCTCCCCTCTTCCCCCCGCCCCTCCCCTCCCTCCCACTCCCCCGTCCCTCCTCCCTCCTTCCCCTCTCCCTCCCCTCCCTCCTCTCCCGAAATCCCCGCTCCCACCACCGCTCCCCGCACCAGGCCCACTCCCTGCCCCACTATTCGCCCCATTTCTGGAAAAACTCAGCAGATTCTTCTTGAGTTGACTGACATGCCTGGCGTCGTCATTCAGCTCCCTAACATGCTGGTCCAATGTGGCTTTAAGATCCGTCAGGTGCTGGATGCGGCGGCGTCTGTCGTCCTCATCTGAGACCTCCTGGGCGGCAGCCATCTGGCGCTGCCAGTCCTGCCAGGCGGCCTCGATGACAGCCTGGCGCTCTTTGAGATATTTCTGCTGCTCTGCAGCGAATAGCTTTGCCTGCTCCACCATCGATGCTCGCTCACTGGTGGGGCACAGGGGCAGCACAGGGCAAGCAGTAGGGGAGTAATCAGCATCGATGACAGCCTGGCGCTCCTTGAGGTATTTCTGCTGCTCCGCTGGAAACAGCTTTGCTTGCTCCACCATGGATGCTCGCTCACTGGTGGATTGGAAAGGGGACCCAGGGGGAGGGGGGTGGGACGGGGGGTGTCGCGGGGGGGGAAAGGTGGTGAGGAGGTGTGATGTGTATAACAAGGGTTAAATCACTTGGAATTCCAGATTTAGGCTCTTTTTTCGCAGCACCATATTTGCAGGCGTAGTCACCTGAAGAAAAACTGACAACCCACTCCACCTGAAGAACACCTGACATCTCACCTGAAGGGCACGCCTTCCTCGTCAAAGAGCTCGTCCCCGTTGTCCATGCCCTTTCTGCCGCCCCCCGCCCTGAACTCCCTATCCGCTAGCTCCTGCACGTAAAAGTGGCACACGGTTGAGCAGGAACAGACAGACGTGAGAAGCAGTTGAGGGGGATTGAGAGGAGTTGAGAGGGATTGAGGGGGGTGAGTGGAGTTGAAGAGTTTGTCCCCGTTGTCCATCCCCTTCTTGCCGCCCCTTGCCCTGAACTCCCTATCCGCTAGCTCCTGCACTCATAGGCACACAGGGCGGACAGAAACAGATACAAGTTAGAGGCGTTGAAAGGGGTCGAGGGGAGTTGAGAGGGGTTGAGTGGAGCCGAAGAGCTCAACTCCGTCGTCCATCCCCTTCCTGCCGCCCCCTGGCCTTAACTCCCTATCCGCTAGCTCCTGCAGGTTGAGACACACATTTGAACAGAAACAGAGGCACTGAGAGGAGTTGAAAAGAGTTGAGAGGGATTCAGAGGAGCTGAGAGGACGTTGAAAGGAATTGAAAAAGGTTGGGAGGGGTTGGGAGAGGGTTGGGAGAGGGTTGGGAGGGGTTGAGGGGAGTTGAGAAGAGCGGAAGAGCTCACCAGGTCAGACCCCGACTCGCTCCACTCGGAGTAATAATCCGCGACGTCATTCGGCTGTCGTGCCGCCTTCCCGCTGTTGCGATTCCTCGACCGCCTCTGCCCCGGCTTCGCCCACCCGCGCCCCATCCAGTCCCCCGCCAGCCCCGCCGCCTCCCCCTCCCCGCCCGCCCCCCCCAGCGTCAACCTCGGGAGCTCTGAGGAACTTTCCCCGAAGTTGCTTCCCGAATCGTCAGGAGATCCCAATGGATGCGGCCCCAAGGCCACTGCTACTGCTGTTCCCTGCCCCTCCGCCCCTCCCGCTGCTGTGCCGCCCCCTGCTGCTTCTCCCCCCGCCTTTCCCCCTCCCCCTCCGTCTCTTCCCCCACCATCCAGCCCGCCAGCCCCATCCGCCCCTACCTCTCCCCGCTCCCCCCTCTCCCCCCGCTCTCCCCGCTCCCCCCCTGCGCCCCATGTGGCACCCGCTCCCCCTGTGGCCTCAGGGGGGAGCGAGTCCACGTCCTTCTTGCTATCAGCCTCGTCGGATCGATCTGGCTCGGCACTCCCAAGCCCACTCGCGGCACTCGCAGCCACTTCACCACCCGCTGCCACCGCCGCCGCTGCCCCTGCCCCTGCCTCTGCCCCTGCCACTCCTGCTGCTGCCCCGCCTGCTGCTGCCGCTCCTGCTGTGTTGGCTTTCTCTTGGTGATGCTGCTGCTGCTGCTGCCGGTCGTGTTGCCCCTCCAGCTGCTCAGGCTCTTCAGACATGGACCCTCCCTCCTCCACCATCCCTCCTAGCCCCCCTCGCCCCTGTCCCAGATCCAACCCCTCCCCCTCCTCCTCTTCCTCCTCCTCACCTTCTCCCTCTTCCTCCTCCTCCTCCTCTCCCTCCTCCCCATCCCCACCCTCCCCTCTCCGCCTCACTCCCTTCCCTCTGCCTCTCCTCCCTCTGTCCTCCCCTGTCCCCGGTTCAAACTCCCTACTAGCACTCAACCCATGACTCAGACTCACATCTGATTCCCCGCCACTCCTCAGCTCTTCCAGCCAAGACCCGCCCATATTACCCCCACCCATTCCCCCTACGCCCCCTCCCATCCCTCCCATCCCTCCTCCGCCGCCCACTCTCCCTCTCGCTCCTCCCGCTCCTCCTCTCCCTCCCATACCCTCCCCACCCCCACCCACCTTCTCATTAGCCACCTCTAGAAGCCTGAATCCCCCTCCACTCCCCCCACTCCCATCCATCAACCTCATCCCCCCCATCCCGCCCATTCCCCCCATCCCGCCCCCCATCCCGCCAAACATCCCCCCTCCGCCCCCACCCATCCCCCCTCCCATCCCCCGCACCCCGCCCGAACCTAACCCGCCGAACCCAACCTGCTGGTGCGGGTTCCGGTTCGCACCCCTCCCGCCTCGCTGCTTCCCATCCTCTCCCCCCACACCGCCCCCTCTCCCCTCCACACCACTCGACTCACTCTCTAGCGCATTACTCAACAGATTCCTTCTCTGCTCGTACTGCCTTCTCACCTTGGCTTCCTCCTGCGCCATAAGCTCTCTCCACCCCCGCCTCATCTCCCTCTCTTCCGCCTTCAACTCGCGACTCAGAATCTCCAGCCGTCTCACCCGCTCCTCCTCCACCTTCTTCCTCAGAGTCACCTCCATCTCCCTCCGCATAGCTTCTAGCCTAATCTGAAGGTCCACCCTCATAGACTCCACCTTTTTCTCCACCTTAATATCCAGCTCAATTTCATACCTCTCTAGAGCGTGCTTCGCTTCCCGTCTCAGTCTCAGCTTCTCCCGCTCCAGCCTCACGCTCAGGTCCGTTCTAAACGCCTCTAGAGCATGTGAGGCCCTCAACTCCATTTCCTGCCTCTGCCGCTTGTACTCTCTCTCAATCCTCACCAGGTCTCTCTTGTTGCTCTCTCTCGACCGCACCTCCCTCTCCTCTGCGGCAACTGTCGCCAGCATTCTCTCTCTGTAATCCCTTACTTCCTCCTCTACCCGCCTCTTCATCTCTTCTTCCATCCTCCGCCCCTTCTCCTCTCTCTGCTGCATCACCCAAGCCTCCTGCTGCTCTGGTTCCATTTCATCCCATTCCTTCCTCATCTGCCCCAGACTCTCCTCCCTCTCACTCGCGATTTGCTTTCTTAACGAAGCATCCATGACTTTTCGGGCAGCTTGGAGCCGAACTGCCCGTTCCTCCTCGAGCAATTTTCCAATCTGCCCGTCCACCTCAGCGACCTTCTGCTCCCAAATCTTCCGCTCAATCTCCTCCTCCTTCTCCCTTCTCAACTTCTCATACCCCTCCGCCACGTCAGCGTCCACTTTTCGCGCCAGCTCAGCGAGCCGCTCCTCTTTCTTGGCCTCCCATTGGCTGATGAGATCCTCCTCCATCTCCTCCCACCGCCTCTGCTTCTCTGTCTCAACCTCCTCCTCTAATTCCTCCATCATTTCTTGCCTCCTCATCTCCCTTTCCTCCTCCAACTCCTCATCTTCCTCCTCCTCCCCATCTTCATCCTCCTCCTCTCCCCCGTCCTCCTTCCCCTTCTTCCCTCCCCTCTTCCTACCCTTCCTCCCACTCCCCTTCACCCCAGCACCAGCCAGTTCCTTCCTCCGCCACTCCTCAACCTCCTCTTCCACCTCCCTCTTCGCCTGCTCCATCAACTCCTCCCTCACCGAACCTGCCCAGCTCTCAGCCTCGGCGCCAAACCTATCCTCCACCTTCTTCCGAACCTGCGCTCGCATCTCCTCTAGAAGCTTCTTCTCTTCCTCCTGAACAGCCCGCCTGGCCCTCTCCCTCATCTCCTTCTTCCTCTCCTCCACCACCCCTTCCATCGCCCTCTCCTCCCCCTCCACAGCCTCCTCCAGCCGCCTCTCTATACTCGCTTTAAGCCTCTCCCTTTCCCGCACCTCCCTCTCCTCCGCTTCTTTCCTCATAAGTGTGATCTTCTCCCCTAACTCCCCTTCCAGGAAATCCTTCTCCAGCTGAATCACCGCACCCTTCCCGCCTCTGCCCAACGCTTCAGCCCTCTGCTCCATCTCCCCTCTCCTTCTGGCCAGCAACGCAGCCTCCTCTCCTCTCACCTGCTCCCTCACTCTCTCCTCCGCTTCCTTCCTCAACCTCTCCAGCTTCCCAGCAGCTTCCTCCTCCGCCCGGGCCTTCAGAGCAGCGCTCACAGCACCGCCAACCCCATCAGCACCCACCACCTCTCCATTCACCCCCTTCTCCTTCCTCATCCGCGCTACAACCTCCCTCTCTTCCTCCTTTAACGCTTCCACCACCTCAGCCACCCTCTGTTCACTCAACTCTTTCCTCTCCTCCTCCAGCGACCACCGCACAATCTCTAGCAATTTCCCCTTTTCTCCATCCATTGAAATCCCTGCCTCCTCTGCAACTCCCCTCGCCCTCCCCACCACACTCTCCCACCCCTCCTCCTGCACCCCCTCCACCTCAGCCTCTACCCTCCTCCAAGCCTCCAGCAACCTCGCCTGTCTCCTCTTCTCCGCCTCCTCCCCAGCCTCCCTCTCCGCCCGATCCAACACCTCCTTCCGCCGAGCCTCCACGAGCCGTTCCCGCTCCTCCGCGACAGCTTCGGCAATACGGGAAGCCATTTCTGCCCGTTCCTGGGCAACGATCCGCCTCTCCTCTTCCCCTAGCTTTGCCCGAACCCGCTCTCGGATGCCCTTGAGGGCTGATTCTCGCTCCCGCCGCTCCTCCTGCTCTACTATTCGCTCCACCCGCGCTGCTGCTTCTCTCCGCGCCAGCTCCAGCATTCGCTGCTCTTCCTCCGTTGCTGCCGCCTTCCATCGCGCTAGGACTTGTGGCTGGGGGGGGGAAGAGAGAGGAGAAAGGGGGAGAGGGGAAGAGTTTATGGCTTGCTCGACCCACCTGCATGGTGCCCCCATCACACTCGCTCCACCTCGACCCACCTGCATGCTTGTGAGGTACCTCACAGTCCCTCCTTTGATTTCCACCTTCCACTCCCAACTCCCCCATTCATTCTCCACCTCCCAATCCCCATTCCGTCACCTCCCACCTTCCATCCCCCCACCGCACTCACATTCTCCTGCTCCAGTGCTGCACGCCACCGATTCAGAAACTCCTGCTGCCGGGCCACCTCCTCCAGATTCACCAGCGCCACCACCTGAGGATCCACCTGCAGGTGCCGCCGCTCCAACGCCACCTTCAGGGAAGCTTCCTCTCGCAGCACAGCCATGGCCCGCTGCCTCTCCCGCTCCACCTCCTCCTTGGCTGCTGCCACGGCTGCATCTCTCTCCCGTGTTATGAGCGCTCGCCCCTCGTCCACTGCTACACTGCGCGCTTGGGTGAGTGCCCCCGCGTCAAAGGGCTGGTTGAGAAGGGGGGACAGGGGAGAGGGGAGAGGTGGAAGGGCAGGGGTCAATGAAAGGACTGAGTCACTGCTCTCTCTCTGCCTCGCTGCCTCTCCCGCTCCACCTCCTCCTTGGCTGCTGCCACCGCTGCATCACGTTCTCTCGTGATGAGCGCCCGCCCCTCGTCCACTGCTACACTGCGGGGTTGGGTGAGTGCCCCCGCATCAAAGGGCTGGTTGGGAGGGTATAACAGGGGGAGTGGAAGGGGAAGGGTTCATATATGAGGCACCGCTGCAGCACAGCCATGGCTCGCTGTCTCTCCCGCTCCACCTCCTCCTTGGCTGCTGCCACGGCTGCATCTCTCTCCCGTGTTATGAGCGCTCGCCCCTCGTCCACTGCTACACTGCGCGCTTGGGTGAGTGCCCCCGCGTCAAAGGGCTGGTTGAGAAGGGGGGACAGGGGAGAGGGGAGAGGTGGAAGGGCAGGGGTCAATGAAAGGACTGAGTCACTGCTCTCTCTCTGCCTCGCTGCCTCTCCCGCTCCACCTCCTCCTTGGCTGCTGCCACCGCTGCATCACGTTCTCTCGTGATGAGCGCCCGCCCCTCGTCCACTGCTACACTGCGGGGTTGGGTGAGTGCCCCCGCATCAAAGGGCTGGTTGGGAGGGTATAACAGGGGGAGTGGAAGGGGAAGGGTTCATATATGAGGCACCGCTGCAGCACAGCCATGGCTCGCTGTCTCTCCCGCTCCACCTCCTCCTTGGCTGCTGTCACGGCTGCATCTCTCTCTCCCGTGTGATAAGCGCTCGCCCCTCGTCCACTGCCACACTGCGCGCTTGGGTGAGTGCCCCCCCGTCAAAGGGCTGTGTGGGAGGGGCAAGACAAGGGGGTTGATACATATGAGCCTCACTGCCTCGCTATCTCGCTGCCTCTCCCGCTCCACCACCTGCTCCTTGCCTGCTGCCACGGCTGCATCGCGTTCCCTCTTGCTGAGCGCTCTTCCTTGGTCCACTGCCACGCTGCGCGCTTGTGTCAGCGCCCCCGCGTCAAAAGGCCGGTCGGGAGGGGCAAGACAAGGGGGTTGATACATATAAGCCTCACTGCCTCGTTATCTTGCTGCCTCTCCCTTGGTCCACTGCCACGCTGCGTGCTTGTGTCAGCGCCCCTGCGTCAAAAGGCTGGTCGGGAGGGGCAAGACAAGGGGGTGTGGCAGCGGAAGGGCCGATCCGATGATTGACTCTCACTCAACAGGCGTCATACGGGCTGGGCTGGTTGAGTCCAACTCCAACCTTGAGTGGACTCGATGTTGCATACAGACAGACAGGATGGGGCCGATGCATCACCTCAGCTCACCTCAATGCTGCTGCCTCACCTCAGCAGCAAGCACCGGAGGCAGTTGCACGTTGACTTTTGAGATGTCTCAAAAGACAGGAAGGTTCCGATGCCTCACCTCAGCAAGCACCGGAGGCAGTTGCACGTTGCATCGCAGCACTCACCGTGCCAAGCTGCTCCGCCAGCCGTGTGATCTCCACCTCTCGCCGCCTCACCAGCGCCTCCCTCTCCGCCTTGAGTTTTGCCAGCCGCCCGTCACACTCCGCCTCGTACCGCGATATTCGACGCTGCGCCGCTGCTGCTGCCTCCCGAAGGCGAGTCACCTCATCGTCCTGTGGGTGGGGTGAGAGGGGGGAGAGGGAAGAGAGTCAGGGTGAGTGAAGGACCGTCTCACATTCCGCCTCGTACCGCGCTATTCGACGCTGCGCCGCTGCTGCTGCCTCCCTTAAGCGAGTCACCTCATCGTCCTGCAGGGTAAGGGACAGAGAGGGCAAGAGAGTGAGGGAGAGTCAGGAGGATGGGTCTCACACTCCGCCTTGTACCGTGCTATTCACCTCTGCGCCGCTGCTGCTGCCTCCCAAAGGCGAATCACCTCGTCGTCCTGGTGAGGGGGTGGGAGGGGGAAGGGGAGGGGGAAGGGGAGGGGGAAGGGGAGGGGGAAGGGGAGGGGGAAGAGCAGACAGGGCGAGTGAGGGCCCGTTACACTCCACCTCGTACCGCGCTATTCGCCTCTGGGCTGCTGCTGCTGACTCTCGAAGGCGAGCCACCTCGTCGTCCTGGTGAGGGGGTGGGAGGGGGAAGGGGAGGGGGAAGGGCAGACAGGGCGAGTGAGGGCCCATCACACTCCGCCTCGTACCGCCCTATTCGCCTCTGGGCTGCTGCTGCTGCCTCTCGAAGGCGAGCCACCTCGTCGTCCTGAAGAATGGGCAGGGAGGGGAGGAGACAGGGCGAGTTATCGTATACCTCTTCCTCTAACCAAGCTACGCCCATGCTCACACATATTGACTTCTGAGTCGACTCAAAAGTCACCTAGGAGACAGGGCGAGTTATGGTATACGTATACCTCTGCCTCTAACCGAGCTATGCCCATGCTCGCACATATTCCCTGCTCCACACGAACCTACCCACAGCCATACCCCATGACACCACTCTATAACCAGCCACACTCCTCCATACCTCAGCATCAGCGTCTTTATCCTTGGGTTCCTGACCAAGAGGCTCACGCTCCTGCCAGCACACAGGGGGTGAGAGGCAGGGGAGATGGAGGGTAAGGGGCGGCGGTAATGGAGAGTGGAGAGGTGAGCAGCAAGGTGAACAACAAAAGAAGCAGTCACAAGTATGTTCCATCTCGGCCTCAACGTGTATGAAGATTTGTTTTGAGAACACACGACTCAAAACAAATCTTCATACACACGGAGGGTAAGGGGCGGCGGTAATGGAGAGTGGAGAGGTGAGCAGCAAGGTGAACAACAGAAGAAACAGTCACAAGTATGTTCCATCTCGCCCTCCTACTCTCTGTCGCTCCATCCACCTCCCACCCGCACACCCACCTTAGCTGGCCCTCCTTTACCCGCCACCTCCTCCCCTTCCCGTTTCTGTCTCTCCACCGCTGCAGCCGCCAGCAAACCACCAGAGCCACCCGCCTGCACCGTCCCTTGCACTACGCCTCCCCCTTGCGCCCCTCCTGCAAGCCGCCCATCAGCCAGCCCAGACGCCTTGCGAGCACCACCAGCACCACCTACACCAGATACGCCTGCCCCAGCCACACCGGCCCCAGCAGGAGGACCAGCGCCCGAACCACCACCAGCACTAGCAGCTGCTGCTGCAGCAGCGCCCCTTCCCTGCTGCTGCTGCTTTGCGTCCTCTGCTGGTTTGGCCCAGGAACCCTGGGTGGTGAAGGGAGAGAGGAAAACAAAGAATAAGACCCCCTCTCGCAACAACTGGCACAGCCAGACTGCCGTTCAAGGCTTGCTTTGAGATGTCTTAAGTTGTGAGTTTTGAGGCGTCCCTATGGGAGTCTCAAAAGCCTTACATGAAGGACTGGGCAAGGACAAGCCACGGGGACAGTGCAACAACTGACAATGACACAGCCTGCCTGTTGCGCAAGGCTGTGTTCCTTCTATTCTAACACGCACCTGTCTGGCTATGCCTGCAGAAGGACTGTGCAAGGACAAGCCACGGGGGCAGTGCCCAGCTGACTGACACAACATGCCTGCCTGCTACATAAGGCTGTGTTCCTTCTATTCTAACACGCACCTGTCTGGCTATGCCTGCAGCGGATTGTGTTGCCCGGGCGCCTGAAACAAGGCCGGGAAGGGAGAGTGATGAAGGGTTGGGCAGATGGTGGGGGACGTGGAGACAGGGAGAGAATCGATCGTGCGAGAATGAGGATGGAATGGGCAGAGAGGGCAAGGCGGAGAGTGGCATGGTGGGAGGATGGCATGGCATTTTGTGCATCACTCACCTCTCTGCTGCGGATCTTGACTAGCCTCACCCCCTCCTCCTCTTGAGTAACCCTGCATGCCCTGACCACTGCCCTGGCCGTTACCCACTCCCCCCTGGGCATCTGTGCTGCTAGTTCTCTTCGGCCCTCCTCTCCCCGCCCCCTCTCCCCCCCGCCCATCCCTCGGATCCCCCCTCTCCGCGGATCTCTCCCCTGCCCTCTCCCCCCCCGTGCCACTCCCCCGCCCCTCCAAAGACCTCCGCCTCTCCTTCCCCTCCCCCTCCTGCCTCCCCCCGACTCCTTCTCCTCGCTCTTCCCTCCTCTCCCTCCCCTCCCGGCCCTCCCGTCCCTCTGCTCCTCCCTTACCAACAGCACCCACACCACTCACTCCTGCTCCCACCACTCCAGCTTCCCCTCCCACCCTATCAGAACTCCCTGGTCTTCTGCTGTTGCTACCTGCTTCCCCCCTGCCCCCACCCTCCGCACCACCGCCGCCAACACCCCCTGCCCCTCCTCCCCCTCCTCGCCGAACCTCCTGGTTCTGGTTCGGCGTTCCACCCGCCCTCCGAGGCACCATTCCATGCTTCTGCTGCTGCTGTTGTTGCTGCTGTTGGTGGTAACCCTCGGCTCCTCCTCTACCGCCCCCCCGACCACCACCCCCACCTCCCCCTGTTCCCCCTCCCCCTCCTCCCCCTGCTCCTGCGCCTGCCTCCTGTCCCCCCCCTCCAGCAGCACTAGGCACAACACCGGGGGATTGGGAAACTGGAAGTCCAGATGCTGCTGCTGCACCTGCTGCTGATGCTGATGCAGCAGCAGCAGCAGCAGCAGCAGCAGCAGCAGCTGATGAAGGGGGTCTGGTGCCCGTTTCGTCATCAGACGTTTCCCATTCCTCTGCTAGAAAAGGGGAACACAGGGACGGGTGCATGAGACAAGACAAGGGGGACATTAGGTAAAGGCATGTCGTATTTCGAAGCTTAAAAAACGCACGGAGCTAAGCATTTATATGTCCGTCCGCCCATCTATCTATACATACAACCATCCATCACTCTCACACCATCACACAACCCCTCAACCAGCATCCACCATTACCTACCAAACACGTGCACCATTCATCACCACCCTGCACCACTCAGCACTGCTCACCATCCGTTTCTTCCAAAACTGTGGGCTTCCCCTTGATAGCAGCACCCATAGACCCCGCCCGAGCCAGAGAGCTAGCCATGGGGGACCGCCGACCCTGCCCAGGCTCGGGAGACCACGTGACCTGATGCAGCAGCTCTACCTCCTGCCCCGAACCTCCTGCCGAACCTGCCGCCGACCCTCCAGCAGCCGAACCTCCACCTCCTGCTCCCCTATCGGAAGCACCCGAACCTCCACCTGCCCCTCCCCCTGCTCCCGACCCTGCGGGTGGTCTCCTGCTCTGCTGGTTACCCCCTAGCCCTTGCTCCCCCCCCTGCTGCTGCTGCTGCTGCTGCTGCTGTCTAGCCTGTCTTTGCTGCTGCTGCTGAAACTGCTGCTGTTGCTGCTGCTGTTGCTGCTGCTGCTGCTGTTGGAGTCTCATTTGCTGCTGGGAAGCAGCAGCAGCGCGCGCCATGCCTCTATCGTCCTCTGAGCTGTCTGTGATAGAGAGGCGCCCCCGCCCCTGTGGCACTCCTGCACGAATGAATGGGCGGGGGGAGGAGGGGGCAGGGAACAGCAAGGTTGGGGTTGGTTCCTCTGTCATCCTCTGAGCTGTCTGTGATGGAGAGACGCCCTCGCCCCTGAGGCACTCCTGCACGCATGAATGGGCGGGAAGGGCGAGGGTGGGGCTGGTGTGAGGAGGAGAAACAGCAGCTCCCTGCTTTTGCTTTTGAGTCGACTCAAAAGCAGAGTCGACTCAAGAGCGAAACAGCAACTCCCTGCTTCTCTCTCATGTTGGGTTTCTGCAACCCAGCCTCCCCCCCACCCTCCCCAGCTCTCCCCCCCACCCACACTACCCCAGCACTCTCATGCTAGCCCAATCCTCCGCTCACCCTCCCCCCACCCACCTCCCCCCCTGCACTCCACCCCCTACACATATGCACCTGCGTTTGGCGAATCCGGAGAGGCGTCTCTGGAGCCCTTGGGAACCACCTTGCGCCTCCGCTGAGGGCGGGAGAGACAGTCATGGGGGGAGAGATAGGCACGGGGGAAAGGGAAGGGATGGGCAAGGGGGAGGGTCAAGGCTCAACAAAGGGGGCGTCTCTTGAGCCCTTGGGAACGACCTTGCGCCTCCGCTGAGGGCGGGAGCGTCATATGAGGGAAGGGATGGGCAAGGGGGCAGGGAAATAGAGGGGGGGGGAGAGAGAGTGGAAAGGGGGGAGCGGGGAGGAGGGCAATCAAGGCCTTGTTTGAGGCGACTAAAACAAAGAGGCGTCTCTTGAGCCCTTGGGGGCGACCTTGCGCCTCCGCTGAGGGTGGGAGCGCCATGGAGGAAGGGATGGGCACGGGGGAAGGGATGGGCACGGGGGAAGGGATGGGCAATGGGGAGGGTGTGAAGGGTTTGGGAGATGGGAGAAGAGCATGCGATTGAGAACAACCGACCCGCTGGGATGGGAAAAGCACCGCCCCACCTGCAGCATGAATTGCCCGCCCACCCCACTTGCAGCAAGCACTGCACCTCTCCCACCCATCCCACCTGCAGCATGGACTGGGGTTGCAGTGAGCCCTGGCGGAACAGGTTGTTACGATGCTCCTCCTTGGGCTGTGGGGGCAGCGACGCCTGCCGTACCAGCCCATCCCGTGCCCCCCCCTTCACCGCCGCTCCATCCCTCATCCCCCCTCCCCCTCCCCCTGCTGCTGCTGCTGCTGAACCGTTTCCTACCCCTCCTCCTCCTCCCTCTCCCCGCCCCCCTGGCTCTCCCCGCCCCCCTCCCTCCCCTCTCCCACCTCCCTCGCCCCTCCCCCCTCCCTCGCCTCTCCCCCCTGTTCCTCCGCCTCCTCCCCCTCCCCCTCCCCCACGAGCACCCCCCTGCCCACCCCGCCTGCCCTCCTCTTCGCGTCTTCCCCGCGCCTCCTCAACCCCCGCCCCCCTCCGACTGCTGCTGCCACTGGTGGCTGCTGCTGCAGCAGCCTTTGCCGCCTTGAGCTTGTTCTTCTCATCCGTGTACAGGGCTCTGAGGGAGAGAGGAGGTGGGGGGGGCGGGCAGAGGGGAGAGGGTGGGGGAAGGGGGAAGGAAGGGGGATAAGCTCTGAGAATAGCAGCCCTGGCTCTGAGCTAGTTCTTGTCCTTCGTGATCAGAGCCCCGGGAAAGTTAAGAGGAGGGTAAGAGTGAGTGGATGGGAGTGAGAGAGAGCGTGGGATGGGGGGATTTGCAGAAAGAATAGGAGATCAATAAAGTCTATCGGGCATTGCCCTACCAGCACGGTCAAAGGAGAAGAGCAGCAGCGGGGTATGTGGTTCCTGGAATCACGCGTCTAAGACTACTCGTCATTCCACGTGTCACAATCACAGCCGTTGATTCACCTATAGTGGTCGTCGCAGGGGTGATCCCACACGCTCTCGCCCGTCTGGAAATTGAAGTAATATATCTCGTCATCGTCCGTGCGACTGGCGAAGGCAGGGGGGGGGAGTGGGGAGGGAGAGTGGCACGGGAGGGGTATGAGACGAGGGCGGGGACGAGGATGGTTGGAGAGAGCGGGGATTCGAGGTGGAAAATAAGGACGTTATCGCACCATCATCCACGCAGTTGGTGGCAGCTGGTTTGTGTGTGAGGGGTTCGAGATAGGGCAGATGACAACACAACCGCATGCACACACTGACACAGACGCAAACACATGCAGTCACACATACACACCTCCCTCTCCCACCCCCTCTCCCAGACACTCAATGTCACACACACACGCGTGCCACTCCTTTGCCTTGCAGATCACCAACCACAGCCATCCGGCAATGCGTGAGTCTAACGCTACACGAACGCTGCAAGCGCGCACACTAAGCGTGCGCATGTCACTACGCACGCACACCAAGCGTGCGCATGACACACACACACGCCCCAAACGACGCACCATGGTTTCCAGTTGGGCGGCAGCGGTGCCTTGAGCCCCTGTCGCGCCACCCACAGCAGCTCCTCCTCCTCCGGTAACTCCATTCCCAGCCATTGCGCGTACTCGAGAATGTCTAACAATCAGAAGCGGAGAGGGGGGGGAGGGGAGAGGACGGAGGGAAGGGGGGGAAGAGGGATTAGGATGCCCGTGGTGGTATCTCGTCCCGCCCACAGCAGCTGCTCCTCCGCTCCTCCGGCTCCTTCCCGCCATTCCGCGTAGTACTAGAGAACGCGTGATGCGGGTATGCGCGGGCTACCAGCAGCTGACTGACTGATGACGTTCGACATGCGTAGTTTAAGAGTCGACTCAAGAATCTGCTTGATGGTGAGACAGCGGCAACGAGAAATGAGCCGCAGACAGCGCAGCCGTGGAGTTGGCGCAGGGACGCGCAGGGATGCGCAGGGACGCGCAGGGACGCGCAGGGATGCGCAGGGACGCGCAGGGATAGGCAGGGACGCGCAGGGACGCGCAGGGATGCGCAGGGACGCGCAGGGACGCGCAGGGACGCGCAGGAACACGCGGGGAAGTGCGGGGACGCGCAGGGACAGGACGCGGGGGGGAAAATGGGCGGAAAGGGCCGCAGACGGGTATAGATTGTCGCGACGTACGCCTACGCGCCAAGAACTCAAGCGCCATGCGTCTAAGAGCCACTCATCTAAGTGCCACCAGAACGCGCTGCGCAATAATGACTAAGAAGTAAAGATCCAACGATCAGCCGGCACTGGCGCGTGATAATTCGGCTAACGGCTGCTTGAACGCCGTAAAAGCGCGCGACGGAGCGAGACAGGAAGAGAGCGAGAGAGCAAGGGAGGGAGTGCGACGGCAGACGGAGGCACAGGAGCCGTTTGCCAATGGTGCATCTACGGTTCAGTGTGAGCCGTAGCGCCTTCACGATTGAAAAGTAAACATAAGCCGTGCTGCGAGGGAGGGAGGCTGCCGGGGGGTGGATGCTGCAGGGGAGGTTGCTGCGGGGAAGGAAGAAAAAATACAAAAATGGATATCTCCCTAGATTGACTACCTCTTATCCCGCGTCAGCTCAAACCTCTCGTATGGCTCCTCGCCCAAAACAGTAGCCTTTTTGCGCGACTCAAAAGCGAGTATACCGTATCCGTAAGAGCTCACCTTCCTGCGTCGGCTCGTAGTTCTCGTCGAACTCCTCCTCTAGAACCGTCGTCGGGTCCGCCATGGCCTAACATGAACAACGAGCGGGCCTTAACTGGGGTTTCAGTCGACTAAAAACTCTTCTAAAACGGTGGACGGGTCCACCATGGTCTACATGAGCAATGAGCGGAATTTTTAGTCGACTCGAGAGTGCATGGTCTCTAACCTGAACAACGAACGGTCCTTTACTGAAGTGAGAATTAGAGCACGCGCTGAGAAAACCAATAAAATAATTAATCGACGGAGGCTATGAATCGCTTCTAGGGTTTCGCATTGGCCAAGAAGCTATGATAGGAAAGATTTCGGCCGTTGGCTAACAGACCTACATAGGCGCCACGAGGTCAAAACCATCGAAACGCAACCGAGACTCGGAAACTAGACAATTTATCCTACCGCGAAGCTATCGTGAAGGTATGCGACGCGCATGGTACTACACATGCGCAACTTGCGGCGCGACGCAATATCCGCCGACACTACACTCCCAACTGCAACGGCTGGTACGGACAAAAGCCTCAACAACCACACACGAACCTAATTTCTGACTCGCCCTAACTCAAACTGAGGAACCTACAGTAACTCAAAGGTTCATACGCGCCCAAACAGTAAAGCACGGGCGATTGCGGGATCGCTTCCGCGTGCTCGCGGAAGCGAGCTGCCCGCGGGCAAGAAAAAAACTAAAACCCACTCGGAAGGCATGCGGTTGGGGAGGCATCAACCCTAAAATTTTAGGGTTGAGGCTCCCGAACGGCATGCCGGTCGCGATGGGGAATAGTTTTTTTGCCCCGGGCAGACAGCTTCCGCCAGCTCGCGCGTCCTGGTGGGTTCGAAACCCACCAGGAGAGGCACCTGGTGGGTTTGCGCCCAGCAGGGCTCGGATGAACTCATGAAAAGACTGGCTACCTGTATGTCAGTGTGTGTGTGAGTGAGTGTGTGTGGATGGGGTGGGTGCTGTGCTGTGGTGTGTGTATACTGTGCTCGGAAGACTCGGAAAAGGGGAATGTGCAGTTTGCAGCTACTGCTGGGGAAGGAGAACCTAGATATGGCTGCAGGCGAGCTATCTAGGCCCGGAACGGCGGTATGGTACCCCCGCCTGGTTACGGCGTCACATGTATTGACGGTTCGTGATGGTTCGCAAAGGTAAGTTCTGGACAGTGTGCAATCTCACTGATTTCCGCGAAGAGCATTTGTTTCGTCGACGGCAGTGCATGTACAGTTACACCCAAACCTAGAGGCACGACGCGTCCTGGATTTTTTGCTGGGCGGGCAGAGTAGACCGCTATTTGTGCTCGCACAGTTTAGGGTGTTGTGTGGTGTTTCCACACATTTGATGTTAAAAAAGGCAAGCTATTGGTACCCGTAACAACGCATGCGTGATTGGTACGAAGGTATACCTAACATATGATACAAGTAAAAAATAAAGTGAATAGATTATGCAATATACTATTAGTCAAAATTCTCAGACTGAACAGCCACTTATACGGATGGTGATCATCTAGATCTCCCAAAACAAGTGACTATCTGAGGAACCTCCAGGTCACCATCTGCTGATCCATCAAACCCCTCTTCACACTCGTCAACATCCTGTGGCAAAATTCTTCCCCTAACCCCCTTCATAATTTCATTTCTGCTGCGTTGAACCCCCGCCGTTTCTGCCTCCTCATTCTCATCAATATCCCCGTGTAATCTCCTTCCGCTGCCCATGAAAAACCCTGCTCTTCCACTGGTGTCTCCAAGGGCTTTGCCCTTTCCCGAGCCTGGTCGCATGAACAGGCTCTCCAGCCGAGACGGCCATTCCACGGACCCGCTAAACGTCCTAGCCAGGAACTTTCGGCTCGGAAGAGGAGAACCCGTGCCAGACGCCGCAGACGCGGCAGCATCCCCACCGCTGATTAATGCACCGTCATCGAAACCGCCGCGCGTGCCGCTGCGTTCACGATCCGAGCCATGGTGCAACGCTCTCGCTGCCAGCAACCTCGATCCCCTCGCCCCTTGCAGTTGCACTCTAGCTCTTCCCAACGCATTCCCAGCGCGGTTCTTGGGATTACCGTCCCCTCCCAGCGGCGACCCTGGCGCCCTTCTGCTGCTACCGCTGCTGCTGCGAAAGTAGGGGACACCAGTGCGCGGCACAGTGTGCGGACGCTGCTGCTTCTGCGCTTGTTGCGCCTCCCAGAACGTGAGGGGAATTTCCGACGCGAGAGACCGAACCTCAAGACTTTCAGGCGTCATTGCTGCTGCGCCTGCGCCGGTTTCTCGCATGGCGGCGGCGGCGGCGGAGCGTTGGCGGAAGTCGTCTGGAAGCGGACGAAAGACGTCCCGCGGCGTCGCGTACTCGGTAAACCGCCAGTCGTCAGCGGCGCAGTTGCTGCTGGCGGCACAATCGTGCGGGCAGTCCGCGACGAAAACGAGAGGAGGCGGACATTGAAGGGACGACGCGAAGGGTGCGGCATTGCATGTTTGCGCGCCAGACGCGCCTGTAATCCGTGCGGTGAGGGCGGAAGGAGGGGAGATGCTGCGCTCCTTGCGCTTGTGGATGGGGGAATTGTGGGCGCGGAGCGAGGAGAAATGCGCGTCCAGGGTTTGATCACAAGGCAGATGGGGGGAAGCCCTGGACAGATCCGTGTAGTACGATTCTGATAACTCTCTTACACCTGGAAGTCGATCTAGGGTAGCCATTTCTGCAGAAGAGAAATGCTGCGGTGAGGGGGGGGAAATCAAGATCACGTTGAGGAGAAGACAGGCGATGTGATCTGGTTCTGGTTCGTGCATACACTAATTCAAGTGTATTATTGAAGGAGCAGTGATGAGGGATGTGAGATGGTTGCACTAAACTTGTAGAGCTTGACGATCACAGCCAGCACCACATCGGTTCGTTGGGATGGGTTCGGTTGGGAGAGGTGATGAGATGAGACAGCCCAGACGAGTGGGCTTGGCTGAGTGCCAGGCTGGGAAAGAGCCACCCCAAATGTCCAATGGGACTTGGGGTGGGGGGAGGCCCGGTTCCGTGGGGGTGTACAAGCGCTGGTGGGCGTTCAAGTCTACCACGAGCAAATATTTGGGCTGATGGTTTATGCCCCGCACCAGTGGTGCGGAGGTGATTCCACCTCGAGAGGTGGAACCAGTGGTGCGGACCATTTGCCTGGAGAGGAAATGGCGTGGAACAAACGGGAGGTTATGGTACAGTGTCACAAAAGTGCCGTTCTGCAGGTTTTCTCGGTTTTCTTGATGCGCCCAGCTTCGGACAATGCCCAACCTGAACCGACGCACCACTGGTGCGGATGGAAGAATCCGCGAAGGCCAAAATTTGCCAAAAGAACAGCGCCACTGTGTGGTGAGGAAGGTGGGTGAGTGGAAAGGCTGGTTACCATTACTCGGTCTGGTGATGTGGCTTGTAGGGTGGTGGTGCCTCGGGGGCTGGTTCGGTCGGATGTTTGTCCGTCGTGTTGCCTTGTTGAGTGGTGGTGGTGTGACGTCTGGTTGGAATAGCCATGCCTCGGACCAATCAGCGACAGTGGAATGTCGGTTGGTGACGCTTGCTTTTGCTTGGCTGGGTTTGGGCGAGGGAGGGACATTGGGCAGCTTGATCTGATCACCATGGTCCTCCAAGGAGGCAGGAGGAGCTGAATGCTTCAACGGCACAACAAAGTGGTTTGGCCGTCCTTTGATTTGCCAGGCTGGGAAGGATTCTGGAGTTTTACGCGGCCCGCGTCAACCACGCCTCAAAAGAGACAATTGTCGCTGTCGAGACAAGAACACTTCGTATGAAAGGTAAACAACATAATTGTAGAAGATGATAGTACTGCTTAAAAACGATTCGACTACAAACGACGTTTCTCAGGACCCCTCCCTCCAGCCATGTCTCGCGGTTGTCTGGTTTGCCGGGGGATGCTCGCCCTGAATGACCCAGTTTGTCAGGAAACCGTACGGCCTTCGTTCGTTCGTTCGTTGAAGTAGAGATGCGAATTACCGAAGCAGATGGAAATAGAGTAACAACGTTTAGCGAACTCTGTGGAAAATCGTCGTCTTCGCGAAGTCCGGTCAAAAATCCCCCCCGTCTGTTTCACTGCGAATTGCCGAATCACAAACCAACCACAGCTGCTGGGCTAGGGTTTGCTTCCTGACAGAACATTCTTCGCTCTCATTGGTTGGAATGGCAGATTCATATTCAAAACTTGGGTTTCCCGCGTTCCCAATGTTATGCTCTGACGGTGGGGCTTCAGATGAGATGACAATCGACGGTCACAAAGTCACCGAGTCAAACGTTCACCTAGAGGAATCCCGCAACTCCCGCGTTTGTCAACGGAAAGCTCGCTGAAAAAGGTCGGTGTTCGACTCGCGTAGCCACTGAGGCGACGACGCGACACGCGAGCAGTACACAGTCGGCGATTTTCCGTTCCTTTCCGTGACCGCCGGGATTCACGTGCCACGTGAACGATTCCTGACCAGCCATGAAGTGGACTCTCGAATATCCCTGTCATGCGGAAAATCTGAGCCTGACCGGACCATCCAACAGAACTGGTTTGAACTGTATTCCAATCAAGAACGAGGGTTTTTCTTCAACACTGCTTGTATGGTTGGCGTTGGCGAAATGGAAACTCCAACCTACGGCTGCGATCTGGACTCGGAGAGTCATTTCGAACGCCTGATTGATTCTGGACGGTAGATCTCGCGTGGTGAGAACCCAAGAGCGTTAGTTGGGATGTGAGGGAAGGAGAGGCGAGGCATTCGGCAACCCCTCCGCCTCATTCCAACGTCATTCTGCTCCCATTTTTTCACTCCCAGCTTCTTCTGCTCACTTGCTCCGTTCTTAGAACTCAGCTTCCATAGCTCTAGAGCTCAGCGTTTTGACATTTAGAGAGCTCAGGCTTACGTTTCCTGATGCGATTTTTCAAGATTGAAATCGTAGGAGCTTCATTAACGGGGAAAAGGGAGCGGGGAGTCGCGTCATCTAGCGTGGAAATTCTGCATGTTTTGCGCAGAAGGATTTTTCACTCAGGTAATACTGAGAGCACCTGCTTATTTTCCGCG